TGAGCTTGAGGAAATGGAGCGACATCCAGTCAGAGATGTCGTTTAGGAGGTGAGTGATGCGGGTGGAGAATGTGGGGGTGAGGTGAGGGGTGGATAGGTAGATTTGAGTATCATCAGCGTAGAGGTGGTAGTTGAAGCCGTGGGAGTGTATGAGTTTGCCAAGGGAGGAGGTGTAGATGGAGAAGAGAAGGGGTCCAAGGACAGAGCCCTGGGGGACCCCAACAGAGAGGGGGAGGGAAGAGGAGGTGGCGCCGTTGTAGGAAACGCTGAAGGAGCGTTGGGATAGATAAGACGAGAACCAGGAGAGAGCGGTGTCTCTGATTTCTAATCCTCTCTCCTAGAACAAACCCCCCCCCCTCCACACACACTAAACATGCTAGTAAGAGCTATCGTGTCATCGCTCCACTGACAGGAGAAGAGCATAGCCCGCACCTTTCGCCTGTTTCCTACCATTTCTCCTTTGCAGGCTTCATTGCTCCAGGCTGTTTGTCCTAGCTGTGAGTGTGGGGGTGAGGGAAAGCACTCAGCAGCCAGGCACAGCGTCCATGGAAAGACTGGCCGGGGGGGGATGGGCCAAGGGCGGACTGACAACTCATGGGGCCCCCGGGCAATAGGGGATCATGGGGCCCCTGTGTCCTTGCCCAAACTCAAAAAGCCTATGAAAAAGGTACCAGGGGCATTTCATTGGGCCCCCTACTGACCCCGGGCCCTCGGGCAGTGCCCAAGCTTCCAAATGTTCAGTCCCCCCTTGGGATGGGCATAGCCCTCCACAGCATTCCCCTAGATACAGCCGTGGCAGAGAGTAGGGAAACCAGTGGCTATGCCCTAGGCGGCAGTGTGTTCTAGGCAGCTGCCTAGCTTGCCTAGTGGTAGCACTAGCCCTGCTAGTACATTATGGGGAACAGCTCCTGGGGGCCCATTAAAAAGAAACAATAAATAGCAAAGTAACCCATCATTCCTGAAAAAGATAAAAGGTGAATTAGGTCTTCTTTCATGGTCCCTCGGCCACATTCTAAAGACATTTTTAAAATAAAAAATTTTATTACATACTGTAACTTACTTTAGACCCCGTGATGGCATCATTCGTTGCTCCTCTGTGCAACACAGGTAGATCATGGTGGCGGTGTGTATGTGGGGGGGGGGGGGGTAGTAGGGTGCCATGTGTAGCTTCCTGAAAACACCACAGTACCCCGCCTCAGTACTCCATCCCTTAATTCCCCTTAGTACAGAGCTCTCCCACCCCCAGTCCCCCTCGTATAGGCCCCTCAACCCAAATCTCTCCTCCACTCCCAGTACAGAGCTCTCCTCCCCCGTCCCCCATCTCTCTCAGTATAGACCCCCCCCAGGGCATATCTCTCCTCCCCTTCATGTACAAAGCTCCCCTCTCCACCCCCCTAAGCCTACTCCACCCATTCCCATGCAGAGCTCTCCTCCTGCAAAACACCCCTCAGTACAGGTATACCGTAGCCTAAATCCGTACCTCCTAAGTATGAACACAACTACCCCCCCCCCCCATCCGCCAAACCCTCTTATCCCTTCCCACTGCAGAGCTCTATTCCCTGCCCCCTAAATCCCCTTCAGTACAGCACCCCCCCTCCCAGTCTAAATCTCCCCCAATACAGAGATCTCCTCCTCCTAATCCCCCTCAGACTGGATCCACCCCAGACCAAATCCTCCAAATACATAGCTCTCCTCCTCCTAATCCCCCTCAGACTGGATCCACCCCAGACCAAATCCCCACCTCCTGCCTGTCCCCCAAATCCCCCTCAATGCACACCCCTCTCAGCCCAAACCTCTCCTCCCTCCAATTCCCCCCCCCACTCCAACACAGAGCTCTAATCCACCAAAACCCATCCAGTACACACTTCTCCTCAACCCCCCCCCCTTCCCTGTACAAAATCTCTTTGCTGGTGCTAGTGGTGCCCATGATGCTGGATGTCTTTCATTCAGGAAATGAACTAGGCACTATCTGTGCTGCAGTTTCTTATACACAATGACAGAAGCTCACAGTGTGCAGTAGAATCAGGAATTTCACGCACAACTGTGCACTCCTTAGGCAACATATATACTGGAACTACTGAGGATGATATTTCTACTGGCAGAAGAAAAACATTCAACACGGTAAAAAGGTGTGCAAACACAGTACTGCGCTTAGCCATGTTTACCTGTGTTTAGCGCTTGGACATTATTCATTTCATTGGCCAGAGTAATTGCCATTGAGTGCTAAACATGGCTAACACTAGTGCGTTTACATGCATGTTTGCCACGTTTGGCTTTTTTGGCCAAAATGTTCCTCTCCTCATCTGCATTCAGGAGAGGGACTTTAACTGCCACTAAACTCTGCTGCTGCTAAACTCTGACAAAAGCCTATGTATGCATGGCTAGTTGAGTTCAGGGGCTTTGGCAAAAAAAAAAGCCAAAAGCTCCTAAACTCACATTTAAGAGCAGCAGTTTACATGAGGCTTACAGTAAGGCTGGAGTTCAACTTTAAAGGGTAAGTTCACCTTTCGTAACATGTTACATATTACACTTGTATTCAGGGTGTAACATGTAACATGTTATAACCCGGCATGGCCCCTGCTCCTCCCCGCTCTCCATTTTGACAGCTAGTGGTGGATCTTCTCCTCCCCACTAGCTGACACAATTTAAAAAAAATGTGGCCAGGCGGGCTCACTGTGTTCTGTGAATGAATGAACTACAAATCCCACGGCCTTAGCAGCTGTCAGCTTGTAGTTCTCAATGAACTGCCACAGTGCTGTGGGAGCGCCGTGTCAGTACATCCCGTATCGGCAAGTAGATATACTGACAGGTCTGCAGGAGACTTTTATGGCACCAGCCATCTACTGATCACTGGTACAATGCTTTAGGGGTTCCAGAACCAAAAAATAAAATAAATGCACATTTTACCTGCAAAAAAAATGTGCAATTAGTATTCTTTGTAAAAAGGTAAACTTATCCTTTAACCACTTCCTGTCCGGCCCATGTACATATACGGCCGGATGGGAGAAGTGCAGGAGCAGAAGGCCGTTTATAAACGTCCTCCTGCTTCCCTGCCTGTGCGCACTCACTGGGAACGCGCGGCACTGCGATCCGGTGCCCGCTGTGTACTCTGGACACAGCGGAACACCGATCACTGTACGGAACCTCTGTGTGAGGTCCTGATCATGTGATCACTGATTGGCCAATCAGTGATAATATGAATAGTAGTAAACAAGATGTCACTTCTGACATCATTGCTTACTACTAGTGAAATCTGTGAATGATTACAGAGGTCACATGGTACAAGGCTATTTTCAACAGTCTTGTACCATGTGACAAGCTGTGACCAATCACAGCTCTCACAGTATTGCTCAATGGCTGCAAGAAAAGCAGCCAGAGAAAAGGAGAAATTATTGCTTTTACATCCTTTATGGGTGTAAAAGCAATCAGTGTAAAAAAAAAAAAAAATCATCATCCCGCACAAGTAGTACAGTGTCACTATGGTGACACTGTGCTACTAGGGTGACAGTATGTTAAAAAACATAAATAATAATATAAAAAAAATAAAAATGTACAAACGTTTTTTGAAAAATTATAATTTTTGGTTATAAACTAATTTGGGTTATTTTGTTGTTTACTAAAAAGATAGCTGAATACATTGTGGCCGGATTTATGAAGAAAGATTATTTGAAAAATGTTATAAGTAAAACACTTTTTTTTTTCCAAAATGTTTGGACCTTTTCCATTTATATAGCAAAAAAAAAAAATCCCAGTGGTCAATAAATACCACCAAAATAAATTTTTATCTGTCTCAAAAAAATGCTAAAAATTCATATGGGTACAGTGTTTCATGACCGCGCAATTGTCATTCAAAGTGTGATAGCACTAAAAGCTGAAAATTGGCCTGGACAGGAAGGGGGTGAAAGTGTCTGGACTTGAAGTGGTTAAACAAAAGGAAGCCTATAAAAGGTAACAATGACTACATGCTACCTATGCCACCGATCTTTGCTCCATTACAGAGCTGGTGCAGTCTGCAGAATCTCCTGCATATGACAGTTCTGAGCTCTGCGTTTCTTCCTATTAACCTGTATGGCAGGCTAGATGATGCAATTTTCTTCCCTGCAACCACGGCCCTGGAGCTGCCCTCACTGATGGGCTTAATTGTAGACAGAGTGGAGAGTTCTGTATGATTAAGCCCCTCGGGAAATCTCTTCATCACCCATTTCTGCTGTGAAGGACAAGGGGCGGTGAGTGTTTGGATTGTTGCTGCTTTTTCTGTGTTGTCCAACAATGTAAGTATGTAATGTATGTTCCATATCTGGCCAACCCCATGGAAGATAAAATGACTGTAGTAATAATCACTAATACAGTGATATACACGAGCTTCTGCATCCCTTGATGAGTGGCTGCCCTGCTGTTTAGTGAATACAGGAGGTGGCGGGACACAATCGCCATTCAGAAAACACTTTGTATTTGTTAAGTGACACTGCCCCGCCTCTTACCTTGTCTAATAAGCAAGCACTTGGCATTCAGGCTAGGTTCACACTACTGCGGTGCGCTACATCGCATGTGATTCCCACAGGAACCACACCCCATTTCTGTGCAAATCACATGGGATTTGTGTGCGGTGCAATTGGAGCCATACATTATGTATGGCTCTAACCACACGGCACCTGCACCAAAAAGGTGCCGGACCCCTTTTGGGTCCACACTAGAATTGGATTGCATGGGTATTCACACCTATGAGATCTGATTCTGCACATTGCACTGCGTTTTGCAGACCACTTTCAGAATGTTGTTAAATTAAAATACACACCCGCAGTGGTTCACATGAACGGGTCGCGATTCTTATGTGGTGCGGAATTTGCACAGAAAACGCTGCAAATTCTGCACCGCATCAGTGTGAACCCAGGCTTAAGGTGGTAGTAAACAATCTTTGTTCATTAACTGCAAGGTGGTTCTCTCGTTCTGGGAGGATGTCATATGATGTCCTACCTCTCTAACCGCGTGTGCGAGCAGCGTGGCGATCGGTGGTGCGCTGTGTCCCTGGGACACAGCGGATCACCGATCAACGAAAAGAGCCGAAGACGTCTGCTCTGTCATGTGATCAGCTGTATCCAATCACAGCTGATCGTATGTAAATAAAGAAATGCCGGTTATCGGCGTTTCTGTCCTCAGAAGCTGTAATGCTGACAGCTCGAGAGGAGAGGAGAGCCGGTAATTGCATTACTCAGAGGGGACATCTACACTGATCATCAGGGCACTGATCATCAGTGTAGCCCCAGAAGCGCCACCTGTCAGTGCCCATCAATGCCACCTGTCATTGCCCATCAGTGCCACCTGCCAGTGCCCATCAATGCCACATATCAGTGCCTACCACTGCATATCAATGCCACATATCAGTGCCCATCTGAGCTGCCTTTCAGTACCACCTATCAGTGCTGCCAATCATTGCCACCTATCAGTGCCCATCAGTGCTGCCCATCAGTGCCAGTCAGTACCACCTATGAGTGCCAGTCAGTGCCACCTATCAGTGCCATGAGTTCTGCCTTTCAGTGCCCATCAGTGATACCTGTCAATGCCCATCAGTGCCACCTACCAGTGCCTCCTTATCAGTGCCCATCAGTGCTGCCTATCAGTGCCCATCACTGCAGCCTCATTAGCGCAAATCAGTGAAGGAGAAAAATCACTTATTTACAAAATTTTATAACAGAAACTAAGAAGAAACATTTTTTTTTAAAAAACAAACACTATCAGCAACATAGAAATACATACAGCAAATCAAAATGTATATAAAAAGCGCCTAAATAATTTAACACATAAAAATATTATGCAAAGAGTGTGCTGAAACACCACTAAAGTGAACGTAAAGTGCCTGTGTAAATAAATGTGACAGTTCAAATAATGTTCGAAAAACCGGGGAACATCAAATTAGAAGTCTCCACTGATGTCTTCACAATGTAGCAAACCAAGCGTGAAATATCCTCAGTGCAAATCCTCCACCAATATGCGTTCACCAGAAGTTATGATTTTTAGCCTAGTAAAACACTCCAGCCACAAAGGACCTCCACAGAGCGCTCTTCAGAGTGGATAAGACCACAGCCAGAGATTAACCCTGTATGGAAATTGCTCACCACAGGGAGCCCAGGATACAGTATATAGAGTAGTATTTATTATTGAATAGGTCAAACAGTTAAAATCAGACCATAGAAACCATGTGGAATAAACAAAAACAACAAATCTGCGGCCGAACTTACTAAGATGGCCACTGCTCTGAGGCCAGACATGGCGGTATGACATCAGCACATAAGGCCCCTCCCGATGCGTTTCTTATACACGCATGTCTTCAGGGGATACGCCTACCTTAAAATTTTAAATCTTATCTCAAGGGATGGCTTTCAATAGATTACAACAAGGTAGCTGCTCTGCTGCGCACAAAACCCTGACCCAGGTGTTCAGTCATAACCCATAATCCCCCGCAGATGGTAGCTTTGCCCCATTGGCTCCTCAGCCAAGCACATACACCACATCTTAACCTGCAGTTCCTCTCGTACTGAGCAGGATTACTATTGCGACAACACATTACTAGTAGGGTAAAACTAACCTGTCTAAACCCAATTCAAAACCCACGCACATTTCCAATATAAATCCTGTATAATAATAATAAATAATACTATTATGATAACAAGGCCACATAGTGATTTTATTATGTTGCAAGGATTTGCCCCAGCTTGATCAAAGATGAGAGCCACCATAATAACAAGGTCACTTATCTGAGTTGGTGCTTAGATTAAAGTGGTTGCAAAGGCTGAAGGTTTTTACCTTTATGCATTCTGCTTCTGTGCGCTGCTCCCCCCACAGACCCCCTTTATACTCACCTGAGCCCCCTCTCGATCCAGCGATGTACACAATAGCCTCGGCTGTCCCGGTTCTCTCTCTCCTCATTGGCTCCTATTGCTGTCAATCACAGCCAGTGAGCTAATCAGGAGGGAGCAGGGGCTTGACTGAGCCACTGCTGTATGTGTCTTATGGACGCATAGAATGGGGCACAGGAGTGCGCAGACACCAGTGCCCCTACAGCAAGCTGTTTGATATTGGGGACGCTGGTCAAGTGGGAGGAGCCAGGAGTGCTAGGAGGGAACCTGAGAAAAAAAGTATTGGGGCTGCTCTGTGCAAAACCATTACACAGAGCTGCAAGTATAAAAAAAACCAAAAAAACCCCTTTAGAATCACTTTAAGTGCTTGGATTCATCTGTAAAGGATCTTCTAGCCTCCCCAAATTATGTAAGAAGCCAAAGGAAACATTGTTTTAAAAAAGAGAGTTGTTTTTCAGTTGGCAAATTATATTTGCTATGAATACATCCTGCTGCTGGACACCCACTGTTAGGGACAGCAAATGCAAAGGTTAGCAAGACTTTCCTGATTGCAATTGCCAACTTCTTGATATGCTAGCGATCCAACGTGTTTCAAATTTTGGAATTAACTTCTTTTTCAGTGAAGTTGGGTGCTGACACATTGGAAAGCATTCGGTTCTATTACGCAGATGTATTATTTTGAGATTCCTTACTTTGCAGGTTGGCACTACATCCCTGAGGAAGAAGTTACTTCCAACATTTAAAAAGATGATGGATGTCCCATCCCATTAAGCAAGCTGTAACCATGAACTTTATGGCTGTGCAGCAAAGAATGGTCTTGGGAGTACCACCTAGCATGTATATAACACTCACTGTAAATGTATTCTTGCCTTGTTAACAAAATTAGCATTTTAAAAACTTTTTATCATGTTTAAATGGTGCTTTTAAGTGTTTTTAATTAAAATGATAATTTTATACAAAACTGTTTATTGATTATTTGGTTGCCTTCAAAGTCCCATCAGATGATTCAAATACAATCTGAGTAAACTATATTTTTGGGGACACAGCAAATAGCAGCATAATAGTCTGGGGGGAGGGAATGTGTTAGTTATACTAGCAGATTTAAATCCCCTACAAAACTCAAGCCAAACTCCAGCTCACACTTTATGAGCAGTTACAGCAAACAGTTTTTCCCTTTGAGATAAAGGTTTTACATAAATAAATAAAGATTATTATGTTAAGCACCCCTGCTAGTGTTAAATGGTTTGTCTCAACCATGTAAACTGAAACAAACTTACTGGATGGATCACCAGATGAAAATAGAAGAAAGAAAGGCTAAAAAAGAAAATGAATATGGCTGTCACATCTAAGAAATGGTATGTTGCAATGTAATAAATGTTTGCTTTTGGGTTTATTACTGCTTCAAAGTGTTATTAAAAACACCAAAACAACATATAGTGCTGTAGATGGGGCTACGAATGATGGTACATGTAGTCCAGACAAGGGCAGTCATGTGACCTTTTCTGTAAGGTGTACATGGCATGCTCAAAGACTGAAGAAGCGCTGATTGATACAAAGACATTGACTTTCAGGACTAGAAGGTGTAAGTTTGGCACATATTTACCACTCTATCTGCCAAACAAGGCACTTTAGATACATATATGATTCGACACAATCTTGACTCCACAACACCACAAACTTTTTCCAATCCTCCTATGACCATGAATTGAGCATTATTAATTTAACTTCTGTTTCTCTTTACCCTGATGAGTTATAAATTTCGAAATCGGGACTTAACTTCTGCCCTTCAAAAAATATCGATCGGTATGAAACTGTCAAAGAAATTTATCTTTTTGCCAGAAATCTAACCTACAAATACATTTTGATTCAGACAGAAGCAAAAGTAGATTAGAGAAGGAACTCATGGCCTGCGTGATCCGATTCCACTTTTGGAGGAAAATAACGAGCAAGATTCCAATACATCGGAGGACTTATACAGCTTCAAAACAAATCAAATCTTGTTATAAAACCAGCAGATAATGGAGGCAATATTGTAATAAGACCCAATACGAAAAAATGTGTTACAATATTCTTAACAACAAACAATGGTATAAACCTTTTCCAGAAGACCTAGTGTCCCACTTTAACAATGAGTTCAAACAACTGATTGGTGCTGCATTTATGGACACTCCAATTAACAAAGACACCTACAACTACTTAAATGTCCAATATCCATGAGAGGCTACTTTTTTTTTGATTCCAAAAATACGCAAAAATCTTTTGTCACCCTCTCGTAGACCCATTATAGTGGGCATTGGGTCAATTACAGAAAATGTCAGTCGATTTATCTTTTTTTTTTCTAATGTGTCATGTCACGAGTCTCCCTGTATGACAGTAATACTTTGGACTTACTTAGACAAATTGATTGTCTGACTGTTCCCCCCGACTCCCTGCTTCTGACTAATGATGTGGTGGCTTTGTACTCTAGCATCCCTCACGAGCAGGGAGTCGGGGACATACGTACCTTCCTGATGGAACAGGATCATGCGCTGTGGGCATTCAATTAATTAATTTTATGTTTACTATATTTTTTATTCTTACGCACAATTTTTTCACCTTTGCTGGTTCTCACTACCTCCAGGTGCAGGGCATAGCAATGGGCACATCCTATGTGAACCTGTACCTGGGGGGATGGGAACGGGACATTTTTTCTGATGACTCCTACAGTCAATTTCTGAGCCATGCCTTGTGCTGGTTCAGATATATTGACGATATCCTGGTCATTTGGACCGGCACCATTGATAATTTAAATGCTTTCATGGCCCATCTCAGTTGCAACAAATGCAGTCTTCAATTTACTATGAATTATCATCGGGAATCCATATCTTTTTTTAGATCTTCAAATCTTCAAAGACAGTGTCAACTGTCTAGCCACCAAGTTATACTGTAAAGATATAGCTGGCAACACCATCTTGCACGCTTATAGTGCCCACCCCCATTCTCGTTTGCAGTATACCTTATGCACAGAATTTATGCCTTCAGCGGAACTGTACCCATTTACATGACTTCAAAATGCAGGCAGCCCAGCTACGGGACCGCCTTTTGCAAAGAGGTTACAGTAAATTCCTCCTACGGAGGACCTATAATCAAGCTTTGGGCACAACTAGAACTTCTTTACTTTACCAAATGTGAACTAGTAAATCTTGTCAGTCCACGGTTAAGTTCATTACTAGATATTCGTCTCAGTATACACCACAACAACCTGCAATGTCCTCTAGGTATGGAGTATTTAAATGTGGCCATTGCTCTCACTGCCCTGGGTATATGGTGGCAATTTTTTTCCATCTCCCTAATAGTGAAACATTCACCCCAAGTTTCCACGCTGATTTTGAAATGCGAGGTATGATATACCTAATGTTGTGTCCATGTGGAGTTTATTACATTACAAAAACCATACGCCAATTTTGACACGAATTCATGATTACATATACTACTCCAGTAATGGCAAAATGCTAACCTCGGTTAGTAGACATTTACTGTAGGACTTTACCACAAGTTTGATACCACATACTGTATGTACAATTTTTGGTCTTGGAAGTGATTAGTCCAGATCCATGTGGCGGTAACTGGGACAAAAACAATCCTTCCAAAAGATACAATATGGATTGA